AGAAATTTCAAACAATTTTTTTTCAGAAACTACAAACTCCACCGCGAAAATAAAAACAGCATCGGACTCGGCGTTTGATTTTTTATCGAATAGCGAAAACATAGAATCGATCGGTCTATAAATATATTTAAAAAAAAAATATTTTTTGAAAAAGTCTACACTATTAAACTTAATATAAATCATAAAATAAATTTTATGCTTCAAAGACTAAAATATTTTGAAAAACTTGACAGATACTAACGTTTCTCAAAAATCATGCAAAATTAGTTTTTTCTTATATTCTTATAACTCTTTTTAACTCCAAAACTACGAATTTTTCAGTTTTTTTACGTCAGTTCAGTTTTCGAAATATTCTATTTCAAATATTTCTTTTTTATCTATGTCTTCCCAACCCCGCAATTTCCAAGCTTTTTTATGTCGATTGACTTTCCGGGACATTTTACACATGTAGAGTTTCAAAAATTTGAAAAAGCAACAGATTTTTAACAAATAAACTATTTCCTAAATTTGGGACTCTGATTCTAATCTATGCCACTTTTCTGTGATAAATTTAATTGGAAATTTTAAACGTATTTTTTTGTAAACAACAGACTCACAATAAAAATGAAAACAACATCAGAATTTGCATTTGATATTGAGGGTTATCGTTTTCTATAAATATTACAAAAAATTGTAAAAAAAACCTAGACCATTAAACTTAATAATAACTTTCTAAAATTTTTATAACAGGGGTAAGAGAAGCTTTCAATCACTATTTTTCGAGCTTGGTTGTCGCATTTGTTAGTTGAGTAAATAAAATCGATCAGTACCTTAACTCCCGACACGTGCACTCGCAAACACGTGTTATCCTCTTTCAAAAACAAATATCTGGAATATTCGAAATGATAATTATCTGTGACGTATACAAAAACGTGTAATCAATTTTACAACATTCTAGAAACTTAATTAGCCAGATTAAAATTTCCTTCGCGACGCTCCCGTCGGGATTACGCCTAAAAAAATCCCTTAATGATGGAAAGTTATTATAAATCATCCCCGAGTAGTACACCTATTGATCGTCTGAAGGATATTGATAGTTATCGGAGCCAATTTTTCATCGAGAAAAATTAACAGCCGAAATGTGGACCATTATTTATGATGAAAAAAACACCATGACAAATCCAAGGTGTTAATCGAGAGCAAAAAACACAAGTTTGTGTTATTTTCTGGCAAAATGGGTCGTTACTGGTGGTGGTCCTGGAAGGCTTATCCTTCTCCCCCTGCCCTGTCTTCATTAACCGTCAAAGCTCGCCGCGATCCGGAGCTGTCAATCACTCCGGTTCCCTGCTGTCTCCCGGTACCCAAATACCTGCACCGGGCCTGAGCACACCTGGTCCCTAATATTTAAATCGTCGAGGAATTCCGTTATGAAACTCGCCGATTTCTCTCACTGTACTATAATTACGCGTCGATGGACTTTCTCTTCTTCCTCAATCAAAAGCGTCTCAAATGTCGGCTTGAACTTTACCATCAGGGAAAAAACAGAGGGCAAGATGTTTGCCCAAGACAAGAATTTTACGCAAGAGCTTTCGCTCCGATGAGCTTTCGAATGGGATTGTTGGCAGGTAGTGGACGAGAGGTTCGACAGACGAGTAATTGCGTTCTTTATGGACGGATTTTACCTTCAGCTAGCCTTGAAAGCGCTCTTGTACAAGTTTTAAATTCTTTCGATTATACAAAGTTTTCAATATTTTCAACTTCCTTCTTAAATTATATCTTGTAGAAACTATAGGAAAAACCTAATTTTGCATGATTTTTAAGAAACGTTAGTATCTGTCGAGTTTTTCAAAATATTTTACTTTTTGAAGCATAAAAATTATTATTTATTTAAATTTATTTTATGATTTGACGAATTAAGTTAAATAGTGTAGACTTTTTTCAAAAAATATTTTTTTTGATCGATTCTGGGTTTTCGCTATTTGATCGAAAATCAAACGCCGAGTCCGATGATGTTTCTATTTTGAAGTTTATAGTTTCTGAAAAAAAACTGTTTGAAATTTTTTAAATTGAATTTCCATACTCTTAGATTTTCAAACAGCGATTACAGCAAAACTATTATATTTATCGCAGAAAAGTGGCCTAGATTTGGAATGAGAGCCCCAACTTGGAAGAATAGTTTATTTTCAGCCAAAAATCCGTTCCATTTCCAAATTTTTTAAATCTACATTAGTAAAATGTCTCGGAAAGTCAATCGACGTGAAAAAGCTGGGAAATTGCGGATAGTTTAAAAGTTATAAAAGGTTTAGCAGATATAGCAAAAAAGAGAAATATTTGGTTTCTAAAATATTTCGAAAGCTCAACTGACCTGAAAAAACTGAAAAATTCGTAGTTTTGAAGTTGTAGAAAATATAGTAAAAAACTAATTTTACATGATTTTTGAGAAACGTTGGTATCTGCCTATATTTTTTTTTTTTAGTTTTTGAAGCATAAAATTTATTCTTTCTTCTAATAAATTTTATATTTTGGCGTATTAAGTTTTTCAAAAAAACATTTTGTTTTGAAATATACATATTTATGACCGATTGATTCCGGATTTTCCCTATTCGATAGAAAATCAAACGCAGATTTCGATGTTATTTTCGTTTTTATCGTGGGATCTGTAGTTTAAAATGAGCCCTACTTTAAAACTTTATCTTTCTTTAGAAATAATAACGCAGAAAATTATAGTTTACAGACTGAACTAAAAGTAACGCACAAAATATTTTTGTTATGAGTCATTCTTAAAAATATTTCTCGAACAGGTCGATTTTATTTTTTTAAATGCTACATTTTGAGATATAGTGACATTTATGACACTATTTGTTTTCGAGTAATGACGTCATTTCTATTTTTTTTAATCTCAACTGATATTTTTTATAACTGTTGTAGATAGTACACATGGTAAGCATAACAAAATTTAAAAAAATAAAGCAAAATAAACGCAAAATAAGAAGAAAATAAAATAAACGAACTTAAATAAGTTATAGAAAGTTTTATACAAAGAGCTTTATCCTCTTGTACTTGCTTTATTTTATAAGGGGTGATTGCTTTTTGTTTTTATTTTTTTGTGTTTAGGTTTCATATTAAGTGTTTTTATGTTAATTAATTAAAAAAATATACAAAAAAACAATTGCCTTTTATAAAATAAGACAAAAACAAAAAGATAAGGCTTTTTATGTTTAAATGTCAATATTTTTTTGGTTGTTTAAAATTTTTATTTTTTATTTTTTAAAGTTTTTTTTTCTATTGTTAGAAAGATAAAGATATGTGCTATTTAAAACAGTGTCAATGACAACAAATGTCAGTTGTCATTTAAAAGAATTAAAAATGACGTCACAACTTAAAAACGAATCCTATAATGTCAAAATATTAAAAACAATAAAATTGACTTGTTCGAGGATTTTTTTGAAAAAAACTGCAGAACTGTACTAGCCAGACTAAAAATTTTGGGCCTAAAAAATTGTTTCTAGGGCCTGAAAATGCGTTTGAAGTTTCTTAAATTGAATTGCCAAACGCCCAAATTCTCAAACAACGATTAGGTTAGATTTGGAATCAAAGCCTCAAAAAAGAATAGTTTAATTTTAGCTAAAAATTTGTCCCAGTTCCATTTTTTTTTAACTCTACATGTCCTGAAAAGTCAATTATCGTGAAAATGTTGGCAAATTCCAGGTAGTTAAAGGTTGTAAAAAGGTTTAGAAAATATAGAAAAAAAATTTTTGTTAGAGATATTTATTACAAAAGGATCAATAAATTTTATTTTTATTGATAAAAATATTTTCTTATTATCGTGAATCCTCACTACATAATAACATTAGAGTTAAAAAATGAATGTTAGGGTAAATCCGAGAGAGATGCATCATCGGGAAGACTTTTACATCACAACAGAATATATTTATGTTTTTTATGTAGAGTAATCCGGGAGAAACGGACTTTGGAACTTAGAACTCTTGTAGGACTCCTCTCCCGAATAATTTTACACTAAAATGTGGTTTATTTCTCTCATACTTTGTTAATTTATCAATTTACACGATCAAAACCGAATTCTGTTTTTTAAACTCGTAACAATAAATAGTTATTTTCTGTTATTTCTTGAAAAAATTTGCGTTGTTCCTCAGTTTTCCCTTCTTCTCCCACTTGAGCTCCCCCGTATGTGTCGGGGTCAGTAATTCAAAAACTGCAGATCCAAGATAAGCTCGCTAGAGTGAAACATTCTTTCAGTGTCGTTCATTGAAAATGTATTAAAACCAAACAGCGAACGTTGCGCAAGCCGGAAGCGAAGCGGAGCGCCCGCCAACGCCATCTCATGCATCTTTGATGGGGCCCTCCAACAATGAGAGTGTATGCACAATTTGCCGTGTTGACATAGTTTTAAACCGGCACAGCGTCCCGTGTTTGAGCACCGACCCGTCATTACCGTCTGCAAATTTGTACGCGAATTCCTAATGACTGGCCCACAAAACCATTATTACACACGGATATATCCAACGCCCTTTGACCCTACCTACAATTCCACCAGTTTGGGGCAAAAAGACGAGGCTTTCTGACGAAGCGAAACGCAAATTGGACATGTACGCGGCTTTTTGCCGCCGTTTACGGGAACTTGGAATATATTTCAATTTCGCGGTTTTCTATTTAGATCGCAATCGATTTGTTGAAATTGAAGGAAAAAACTGAAATTTGTTTGCAAGGAGCTACTTGTGGCCATGGGAAGTGACAGATTCAATAATAATGCCAGGCTTTACCTGCCTCTGGGATTTATTTCATTGCTATAACCCGCAATAACCATAAATTACGCTTCAGCTCGGTTTATATCACTGACTTTTAGCTATTTCGAATCATACTTTATTGATTGGGGTTAATTAGCTTTGAGTAATCAATTTTCAAAAAAATACTTTGCTAGTGTGTTGGACGTTTTTGTTATTTTGAAAAATATTTGCTTTAATCTTAAAAATATAAGTAATTAATTTTTGTTTTTGTTTCAGGAGCCAACTCTTGCAAGGATCAACAAACAATATTTCAAACATTGGGTAAGTGATACTTATTTATACAAAATATTTGAAAAGGATATGAGGATTTTCAGCATGACTGAGTGAATAATATTTTGGTTTAGTGTTTAGAAATGCAAAAAATGTTTTTTTCAAAAATTTGATTTTATTTGCATGCAAGAATGAGTTTGTGTAGGGTAAATTCGGGAGAGATGGACTATAGGGCTTCATCTCTCATTATTTCTATATAAACCATGTATTCGATTTGTAATCGAAAAGAAGGGTTTTATCCGTAAACGTCACAAAAGTGACCACTTTTATGACTAAATGTCACAAGTACCTAAAAGTTTGATCTTCCCGTGGAAAAAATTCTATTTTTGTGCCTAAGCAAGGGTTTTTACTTTTACTATGACATTATTAACATTTACTAATGCTGTTTTTTTTTTTTGTCTCTTTAGCTGTGGAGAGATACATACATTGTAGATAATGAGCATTCGACATTTTGTACTACTAACTGCACTAATTAAATTAATAAACACTTTCGAAAATCTCAACACAAATTCCGATACTGACGCGTGATGTTTTTTATATAATACTATAATTTCCTTACTTGCAAAGCGTCCTGATTATTTTGTTCATTTACTTGCTAATTATAGTGTTAATCTTTACTCTCAATTTGAATACGTTTGCCGATAAAATAATACATGTTATTCGGAGAAAAAGTGAGTTTATGTGGCTCAGCTCTCGTTACGCCAAATAACATAATATACTATTATTCACACTTAGTAGTTATCTTTTTCCCCTCGTTTATTGAGCATAATTTTTTAGTGTATTTTTAATTAAAACTGGCTTATGATTTACATTATTAAAAAAGTGCACGAAATTTACAAGAGAAAAGACTAAAAAATACAAAAGACAATAAATGTAATGTGATAAATATTAAGAGAAAATGAAATGAAATAGAAATTCGTAGTGTGAATTGAAGCAAAGATCATAATTTTATAGTATATTTTGTAAAATATGGTCCATTCTTCCCCGATTAACCCTATTATGTTTTATTAAAAATATTTTCAATTATTTCAGGTATATTTTCCTTTCATTCATTCGATCGCAATTAATTCTCTATAAATTGTTTCTCGCCCAAAAATGTTTACAATTTTTTTTATTTTTATCAAACAAGAAAGCAAACAAACACAGAAGTGAATCTCTACAAATTTATTGCAATTACCTATCAAAATTTGTACTTTTACAATCATTTTTCTCCTCATTTGTGAAAAATCAATAATTTCCCTAATAATCCTGTGATTAGTTTCCGGCAAGTCACTAGTAAAGTTAGTTGGGGTTTTGTTATCCGATGACAAGTCAAGCTTCTGTGTCGCTCAGATAGGCAGCCGGTGTGACCGTCGCGGCGGCGACGACGACGACAAATCACTAATTAGACTTTGGACAGTCGGACAGTTTCCAGACTTCATTAATTCCACAAAAAATTTCACTCTAAGTTAAATCGAAATTGAAAAATCGGACCAATTGTTTAAAACTTGAAAAATTGATTAAACATAACATAAAAAGTTACAGGTTGTTAAACTTGAAAAGAAATTATTTTTATTCTTTCCTTTGACCAATGGTCTTTTTTATATGATTTGGAGCAACGAAAACAATTACTAGTTTCTACTGTTAAGTAGGTTACAAAAAAGTATTTGAAATTACCTACTTTTTTGCAATTTTTTTGGGACGCCTATAGTATGAAGTGTTGGTAAAAATTCCACGTTTTTGGTGTTGTAAAGCCAATGATGTCTTGGGCAGGTTTTTTGTAAAAGGGTTTGAGCCAATTACAAGAACAATTACTTGAGATATTATCTGCTGATACATAAATATCAGAGACAATGCCTCGGCTGTCGTCCCCTGTGGTGCCTCGCCCGAACTGAAACCAGGTAGCACGTAATTTGCACAGCTTCTGTTTATTTACACAAATGCAGAGTCAAAAAAAAACCATCGAGTGGGTGAGAGTGTATTTGAATATTGTGTGGGCCTATTATCAGGCCCGTAGTGAGATTAAATTGAAAGTGGATATATTTAGTGAAAAAATTTGATCGTAATTAGTGAATTTCGTCCGATGCTCCTATTAATTAATGATTAGCGTATGTTGCAGTAAAAATAGCCCTGAGCTACAATTAGTAATCGTCTGTAATTAGTATCGGCCCCGTTGGAGCGCTGCAGCGCGTCTAGAGGGGCTCTAGGGGGCGTGTCGGCGCTTTCCGATTGGTCCTGTGCAAAGATGGCAGGCGTTGCTGTCAATCAGCGCTTGTAGTGGGGGTACGGGGAAACACCGGCGGTAGAGAACAACACCGTCATAACGTAGAGTAACTCCGAGTAGCGTGGAGGTGATTCGTGTTCGTGTAGTGTGCAGTGAAAACCAGCAAACTGTTCGCGCCGACGGAAGACATGTTGACGATGGAAACGGACCTCAAAGGGGGCAGTTTGCACGCGACGATGCCGCCGCACCACGCTATACAATCGTACGGGTCGCTGGCCCCCATGCACATGGGCCAACACCCCCATCAGATGCACCATCAGCCCCAACCACCCCAGCCGCCGCCGCAGCTGCACCACCATCAACCATCAGCCACCCAACACCAGACCCAGAACAACAACAACAATAATACTAAATCGCAGAACATGGAAAGAGTCAAAAGGCCAATGAATGCGTTCATGGTGTGGTCAAGGGGGCAACGACGGAAAATGGCCCAGGAAAACCCCAAAATGCACAATTCGGAAATCTCGAAACGGTTAGGGGCCGAATGGAAACTACTGAGTGAAGCTGAAAAACGGCCCTTCATAGACGAAGCTAAACGTTTGAGGGCCGTTCATATGAAGGAGCACCCGGATTATAAGTATCGGCCGAGAAGGAAGACTAAGACACTCCTGAAGAAGGATAAATACCCCTTGGGGACGTCTAGTTTGATCCCGACTAGTGACCCGACGCGGACGGCGCCCTCAGCGGTCCAACAGGTGTCCAGTCGGGACATGTACCAGATGCCCAATGGGTACATGCCCAATGGGTACATGATGCACGACCCGGGGGCCTACCAGCAGCAGTACACGGGGTCCAACTACGGCCGCTACGACATGTCGCAGATGCAGTACATGAACGGTTACGGTTATGGGGCCACTGTGCCCCAGAGTGCCGGCTCCCCCTACGGCATGCAGCAGACGTCGTCGCACAGCCCCTCCGGGTCCAGCATAAAGTCGGAGCCGGTGTCGCCGAGTTCGGGGCTGCACACGCCGACGCCGGGCGTGAAACGGGAGTACGGCCAGCAGCCGCAGCCCCAGGGGGACCTCCGCCAGATGATCTCCATGTACCTGCCCACCGATGGCTCCCAACACATGCAGCAGTATAGTGCGTCGCCGGACCCGCTCGGGCCGGGGCCCTTGGCGCCCCTCGCGCACATGTGAGAGCCGCTGTTCGAACTCGACGGTGGTGACTGATGATAAAAAGTGTAAATAGTTGATGCGAATTTTGGTTCCTTAACCATCTACAGTATTGTTATATTTGTAAGGATGCGGCCGTTCATTTTGCTGTAAGTGGTCTAGTACAAACAAACTTTTCCTATTTCTCGATTCTCACGCTCACGCAAAATGAAACCGTCGCCATTTATTTAGTTCACACTGTATATAGTCATTCAAACGCGTTTTGTATAGAACATCACGAAGGTTCACTACCAAAAATTTTGTAAATAGGGCCCAGGAGACGTGCCCGGAATCACCGGACAAGTCTCTCTTAGGTTTTTTGACAAACGATCCCAGTGTCTCTTCCGCATCTCATATTTAGTGTAAATATTTATTAAACTCTTAGATTTTTGCCACTTGGACGAAGAGAGCACTATCGGTTTGTTCTTGTTGGTTATTCTCTATTATTATTATTTTTTTTTATATTTTTTGTTTGTTCATTCTTCCGGTGCGCGAAACATTTGTTACTCGAAAAATCAAACATTTTTTAATTGTGATGTCGGCCTGAGAAAGAAATGAACATTTCAAATTTATCATCACAGCTTTGTACATATTAATTTTAAGTTACTTTTTTCAATGTACAGTGTGTTTACAATTATTAGTCAATGGAACGAAAATGTGAATATATGAGATTGACAAGTTTATGAGTGTTTTATTCAACATTTTTGCAACTACCTGACTAGCCTTAGACAGGTAGGTAACACCTATTAGCAAGAGTAGTGTTTGCACCATAATTTATGTCGGGGCCCTACTGTGATAATTTACTAAAACAACTCACTTTTCAATTATATTCAAAATTATGTAAAATATAAACACCAATAAATTAAACTTTGAGATAAATATTTGCAATGTGTAACTTGAATTACTATTTACTCATTTTGGTCATTATTTTCAAAAAAAATTAAAGAAAAAGTTCAAGTTTGTTTGTCTTTAGAGTTCGTTACTAAACTCGAAGCTATCACTAATTGATGATTATTTTATGATTTAAAACCAGTATTGACTGCTTGAGAGAATAATAAATCGAGTAATAAATTGCCCAGGATATAAATTACAAGTGACTGAAACTATAATCATTCCTATTAATTAGTTTTAATACCGCAGTGTTGACATTTATAGTAACCAAGTTTTCGTTACATTTTTCGCTGTAACGGCTGAAAAAATAGTAAAACCGGTCATTGCAGGCCCTGTGACTGAAGATGGCTTGCGAACGATCTGAAACCGGTTCATTGAATAAATCAAAACTTGTTATTCAACATAACGTAAACCCTAACAAATTTTATTATGGGATGGTAAATTTAGTGCGACAGATGACACACACTAATTCATCCGAAATTCCCATCAAGTAAAAGTGGCCGTTTGGCGAAAATTATTTATTTTGTCGCTTTTTCCATTCTTAAAGTCAGTGAATAAACATTAATCCTCAGGTTCTAAACAGTAAATGGCCATTGTTCAACTTTACGCTTAGCCCTCAGTAGGGTAAGGCCGGGAGAGGTGGACCATTTTTAGGATCCCAACTTCGAAAGTCCACCTCTCCCGCATTTACCCTGGTATTCAAAGGTGGGCTATTTTTGACAGCTCCACTAATTCATCGTTGAAAAATGGCCGAATTTCCTCCACGGTGTAATTTACACGTGAAAAGAACAAATATTTAAAACATAATTTGGGTGGCACGTAACCGTATTAATTAATAGCTTTCGGTGTGTGAAGGGCTGTGTGGCGGCAAGAGAGACTTTGTTCACGCGAAGGCTGCATTAGCAGTAATGTGCGATGGTGATGGCGATTAGGCGTCTTACATGCACTCGTCGCAGGAAAGCCTTGATTACGAGCTTTTACACGAGCGAGGATTAATTGAACTTTTTCGCAAAAATTGCTTTCAGACACAACACATTTGGGAGCTTTTTATTGATCATCGAATGCACTAACTAGCGGGGTTAGAGGTGCACCACATATTATCTAACTTTGACAGAATTAAATTTAATCTTATAACGAAATAAAAAAATGAGAAGTTTGTCCTAGACCTGGTTAAACTGTGTATTGTTAGCTGGAAGTTATAGAGATGTAAAACTTGATTTATGGAGTAGAAAGTTCGGATTCTATTTTTCTATTATCTTTTCAAGTTTTACATAACATAATTTTTATGTCGTCTTCGAAAAGGAGCATCGAGTTTAGATGAACACTGACGTCTCTTGCAAACAATTCGTAATAAAGCGCGACAAAAGTTTAATAAGGAAATTCTCTGACTTTATTTTCAATTTTATAAAAATAAAAATTAATGGCATTTACCTTTCCTTTGTTAAAATTTGTTTAGTAATAATTGAAATTGGGCCATAAATAAAAACTACAGCACTTGCCGGTTTTTAAAAATCACCATGTTTAATAATTCTTATTTTAATAAGCACTTATAATATCTCGAGTGCATTGATTGTTTCCGGAAATAATTATTTGATTTGCCAATTACGAGAAAAAAATTTCGGATTCAATCAATGCACAAGGGGTATTTGGATGACATCACAAGTTCAAGTAAGTCTTAATTTTTGATGTTTAAAATAAAATTTTACTAAATATTTAAGTTTACTTTTTGTGTTAAAAAATTTCCGCTTGTTAATTTTAGCTAGTCAGTGTTGCTATGGTAATCATATTAAATACTAAATTCAGATTGGTTCTTTCATAGGGTCATGCAATTTACCAACATAAAAAACATCTTTTATTTTATTACATACTAAGGGAATAAGCAATTATTTCATTTTTACATGTAAAAAGTTGAGGATATTGTAGTTTTAGGAAAACATGAAATGTTTTATGAACTAGTTAAGAAATGTTATATTTGTAAAAAATCGTTGGTTTAGATTATTTTGTTTATTTATTGCAATACTAAAAAGATTAGATTTTTTATGAAAACAAATAATCCTTACTTTTGAAACTTTTTTTTAAATGTGAAGAAATAAAATTGTTTGATATCAAAATGTTAACGAGTTCTTTGAATTAGAGAGGTGTTTGATATGTTTTCTGCCTGTTCCGAGAAAGCTCTTGAAGGTGCTTTGATTCCTGATATTTTCAGTTTTCGGAAGCAATTGAGTTTTTTCAAAATTCTGGTCAATTTCCCGTATCTCTTGAAATGATTTGTAAAATTTTTCACTAAAATTGTTTAAAACTTTTGTTACGTTTTATTAAAAAAAAACACATGTATTAAACCGAACTGAAAAAAAGTAATTTACTTAACTGAATTATTTAGCTGGTTGAGTACAAAAGTTGAAAATTTTTAGTTATCTTTTAAAATAGAAATCTGTGGAGTGGACTTTCTAGTTGTTTTACATTTTTTTTTTCAATTTAAAGCTTTGAAAAATATGAGTATAATATTATGGTCCAGTTTAAAGTAAAAAATATTTTCTGTGTAATTACCATTAAAATTGTTGCCACCAAAAGTCATCAACACTGTTTTGGTATTTTTTTAAAACACATTTTGCTTTAAGACTCTTGTTTTGACAATTTAGCAAATAAATTAAACACTACCCTTGACCGACAACAGAATTTTCAAACAAATTTTAATTTATTGTGGGTACTTGACAAAAATAGAAAATAAATCATGGTTTCTAATTTCTGCTAAAATTATGTACAGTAGAACTCCTCTATAGCGAGTCCCTGTTATAACACAGTATACCCTTTTGTATAAAAAAATTCTATAACGAATAAATTCTTATTAGTCACAATTTCAGAATATATTCCTAGAAAAAAAGCAACCGTGTTGCTTTAGACTAGATTTTCTTAGTCTATTATCACTCTTTCCACAAGGAAATATTACATTTATTAATTTTCAAGTAAAGTAAGATACCAGGAACATGAAAAAAACGTTTAAAAAATTCTATCTGTCAAAAAATTTTGACATTTATTTTTTGACATTTAACATTTTTTTATATCTATTTAAGGATACTGATGATCTTGTATATGTTTTTTTTTACAATTATTTAGTAAAAGGAAAAACATTTTGCCAATAAAAGCCACAAATAACATTGGACAGAGTTATAATTTAGGATACAGCTTCCTTGTTTCCTCTTTTAATAGCCTATAGCAAAAAAACTTGGAAAATTATTTTTCCCACAGAAATAAATAGAGTCAAAGTGCAAACTTTAAACCCTCATAACTATTATAGATAATTTTTTTTAACATTTTTTCCATGTTCCTGGCATCTAACCTTATATGGCATTTTTCTCTGGGGCGCGAGTTCTGGCGCACCCTGTATTTTTATTTATATTACATTTATATCATCTGTGAAGAAAAATTATCAATAATGGGGATAATTTATCGCGTACAAATTTTGGTCTCTTGAATTATCGTTAAAGCGTGGTTCTACTGTATATATTAGAAAAATTAAAACTGAAAGAATTAAATTTTGAAAATTCTCAGCCTATGGAGCTTAGTTTGGTAAAGCACACTTTGAGTTTGAAAATTAAGTGAAATTTTAGTGAGAGTGCCCAAACTGTCAGCTCAGCTTTTCCCAAAACTCCCTAATGGTTGGTGAAATTATCGTCCGTTCTCCGAAAAACTTTTCAAACTGCCTCAGCCCAGTAGGAGGTAATTTCTGTCGAGATTTAAGTGACAAGCTTTAAATTATCCAAGTGACAGCTTATGACCTTTCCTCGTAAAAAATTAACCACATTTGTGGGTCATTTTTTACCGGTACCTACCACCAAAATCCTTAATTAGTCTTTGGTCATTTATCTCTGTACGACACCCATCAACAGTACCATTAATAGTGCGCTTAATCTCCGCATTCCATTTCTTACCGAAAAGCGAAAACACTACCACATTTACCATAATAATCGATAAATCACTCCCATCACGATTCATAATAAATAACACAGCCTCCGTTATTTATATTCCTCTGGTCATTAAGCTAATAACATTTTATAAGTCCGCTAACACCTTCCAACAGACAATAACCTCCTAGACACACCGTTCTGTCAAATTTATGTCTCCTAATCCGAATTTATGGCACCACCCTGTGGGCTTCGGCCTTGCCGAAATGCCCATTTTTCGGGGCCGTGGGCTAATTATCCCCGTGGAAACTTTACGAGCCTTGAATTCAAATTGTTTCCGTGTTTGTTTAATTACGAGAAAAAGTCGATTGGTGTTTTTGCGGCAATTATTGGTGTAATGTCGGCGAGAACGTGCAAACATTTCGTACGTTCACGACGTAAAAACCTAATTGGAAATTTGTTAAACAACTGGAAGATTAATAGAAGGACTTTTTTTGCTTGTTGTGGTCGTAGACCGAGGAAAAACTTTAGATTTGTTTATGTTCTGTTTCGACTATAACAACTCGAATGGAATTAGCGGAATAACAATAAAAACATGAACAGGAATTCAGTTACGCTTGTATTTTCATTAGATCGTGTTACATGCGTTACCACACCATTGGCATAAAAGCGCAATTAAGGATATTTAAAGCAAAATGTACCAACATGAAAAACATCGTTTATTTTATTACATACTAAGGGAATAAATTTTACATATAAAAAATTGAGGATATTGTAGTTTTAGGAAAACATGAAATGTTTTTAAACTAGTTACGAGATGTTGTAAAAAATCGTTGGTTTGGATTATTTTGTTTATTTATTGCAATACTAAAAAGATTAGATTTTTTA